TTAACCTGACTGTGGGCCCGTTTACAAATTGCTTTAAATGGATTACGTTTGGATTTCACTTGATCGTTAGGTGTGAAAAGCCAGGTGTAAGGGTGCGTACACACTAGAGGCTGACGCAACATCAGAAACACAGCTCCAATGTATTTCACGCTGCAGCTCTGTCGGACTAGACTCTGCATCTACCTCCCCGTCCTTGTGTTGTCTGATGTGTAGGCACCCTAAGCCAGGCCGCATTGTAATCGCGTTACGATCAGATCAGTCAAACCACATTTTGAGGTGCATCTTGAGCACATTCAACTCAAATGTAAGCAGAATGCATTTTTTGTCATCCTTATATAATTATGTGAGTGGAAATACGTCTGCTGAGCACTGATGAGCAGCTGAGAGGATAAACAATAAAATGAAACATGGAGGATTCGCAGGGCTGGAGGTCCCAAACCAAAAGCCTTCATGCACTCCAGGCCAATGAAAGTATCCAAGCTGATCTTGTCGATTCATAACAGAAAAAAGAGTAAACAAAAGTTAAACGGAAAGAATGTGTGTTGACTTTTTTTTGCCGTTTTACCTGGGAAAATTACAATCCGATCACACGAAACAGGAAACACACGTTAATGCAAGGCTTAAAAAAGCTCTGTGATTGGGCCATATGGTGTCACATGGTTGCCTGCATCACTGCATGGAGCCTTCAAGTGGCACTGAGAGTTATAGTGTCTTGCAAATGCTGAAAGTACAGAGTAATTCAAAAAGATTCATCCGATTTCAAAGCGTCATATTTTTACAACCGTGAGGCGCCGAGGAACCAATCACAATCCAATTGAAAGAGGGGGTCATAGAGTTTCTGACTGTCAGTGGAAGATGGCTCCCTCCAGTCTGAGAGGAGATGCGACCCCTGAGCAGAAAGCGTTCTGCGTTCTCCACTTCAATAAGAGTGAATCCGTCATAACTGTGCAGTGTGATTTTCGTGAGGAGTGAAGCTCCAACAGCTCAGAGCGTTCGTCGTTGGTTCCACAACACTGGATGATCTCCGAAATCGCACTGAAAGAGCCGTGAGTGCAGCAAAATAAAATAAACTCAAAACAGCTATCTGTCATTTCATTTTAGTCATTATTCTGGTATTTTGTGGCCACATCTAAAATGAAAAACCTAATATAGAAAAGAAAATTCAAGCTTCACTTTAGCTTTGGCTTTTCGTCATGAGATGCATAATGTGTCAAAAATAAAATCAAAATGCAATGTTTACGTTGTTATTTCTTTTCATGGCAATAGGCAGCATATATGACAAAATGAAAATGAAGATGCAAAATGGATAAATGAACAGCGCAGTTACAGTTTGCCATTCAGTTTTCGGCATGGATGCGTTTTAAGTGTCAGAAAGAAAAGGCAAATGGAAACGAATATCGATGCCACCTGCTGGAGATTTACTTTTCATTTGCCACTTTCCTTTTTTATTTTCAAGTTAACCAACATGCAAATATATGTTAACTAACACTAGGTGGGGCTACAGTGTACATTTTAGACTCAAACTTTGAGTCTCGGGAAGCGAGTAAGTGAACATCAGACTGAACATCAGGCCTCCCATATACAGGGTGATTCAAAAAGGTTCATCTGATTTCAAAATTTATTTCACTTGTAAATCATTACAGATCAATGCAGTAAACTGTAAATGGTTTAAATGAGCATAAAGTTTATTATGTAATTGTACAAGGTCTCAGTATGAACCTCCTCCAGCTGTACAGACAACATCAACACCATAGTCAAATTCATCCCATACTGGATTGAGCATGTCGGGTGTCGCTGCACTCACGGCTCTTTCAGTGCGATTTCGGAGATCATCCAGTGTTGTGGAACCAACGACGAACGCTCTGAGCTGTTGGAGGTTCACTGCCCACGAAAATCTTCTGGAAGTCATCAAAAATCTTCAGGGAGCCATCTTCCGGTGACAGTCAGAAACTCTATAACCCCCTCTTTCAATTGGATTGTGATTGGTTCCTAGGCGCCTCACGATTGTAAAAATATGGCGCTTTGAAATCGGATGAATCTTTTTGAATCACCCTGTATAATTGACCTCTATCTGTGAACCCTTAAAAAATTCACCTTTTCTGGACAATAGACCTCCTTAATTCAGGTGCTATTGGTCAGACTGTGAATCTGAAGGAAAGCTGAGAAAATGAAGACCAAACAGCGTTTTAAGGAAATTACAGATTAAGTTATAGACATGCACAAGACAGGAAAAGGCAACAAAAAATATGCAAGGGTTTGGGTATCCCAGTGAGCACTGTTGGATCTAGTGTGAGAAAATGGAAGCTGCCTAGACAAGGCTGTCTCTTAAAGCTGTGAAGGTGCACCAGTCAACAATATCATGAGCTCTGCATACAACTGGTCTGCACAGAAGGCAGGCTACTAAGAAGCCATTACAGAAGAAAAACAACATCAAAACACGTCTGGAGTTTGCCAGAAAGCATCAGAATGGCCCAGCTAAACTGTGGGATGACGTTTTGTGGTCAGATGAGACACAAAAGGAGCTGAAACTACCTGTTTCTCAACAAACACCATCCCAACAGTGAAGTATGGGGGTGGCAGCATCATGTTGTGTGGATGCTTTTCCTCAGTGGGGACTAAGATTCTTGTTAAAATTAGACGGAGATGGAGGGTGCAAAATACAGGGAGACAAGGTATATAAACTTCTCCAGGCCTCTGAAACATTCAAATTTAGGAGAAACTTTAGATCTCAATCCTATCGAGAATCTATGGGATTATTTGAAAATTGCGGTCCATGAGCGTCATCCAACCAAACAACCTGGAGAAAAGCTAGGAGGAAAACGAGGTGAAAATCATTTCCAAACAGCGTGCAAAGCTGCAGAAACCCACCCCAACATATGTAAAGCTGTTATTACAGTGAAAGCGTACATATGCAAACAGCATTTTTCAGTGTTTGTTTTTTTTTTTTAAAGATCTGCTGGCAAATAATGAAATGTACTTTAAGAGCATATTGATTTGCAATAGAACTACCGGCTGGAACAGTCTGTGTAATCTGTACTTGTAAGCCTTATTCGCAACAGCGTGTTTGTCATTCACTCGATTTCTTTCGTCGTTTGAAATACATTTTCAACACAATTCAACACTGGAGATTTTGCTGTGTAGCAACGGTCATTTATTATAAAAAAAAAGGTGGAATTCTGGGTAAAGTAGTCTTTAGTAGATAAACTCAAGACGCAGTACTTGCATGGGTATCTAAAAAATTACATGAAAACTTCACCTCAATGTAAATACTGATACATTAATATGCTTACAAGTACAATGTCTAGTCCTGTACTGTAAAACCTGCACCTCCACAACAGTATTTGGTCCATTATACCTGTCAAAAAGCAAACTAATGTCTGAGAAAAAGTGCTTTAACAAATCAGTGGTGGGAAATGGGGCTTTTCAATAGAGCAGCTTTACTCAGTCTTTAGAAACGTGTAATTTACTGCTGCTTTCCCAGACAAAAGCAGAAGGGAGAATGATCTGAGTTTTGGGAATTTTGTAGCATCTGTCCTGTGTGAAAGGTAGAAGAAGAGATAAAGTAAGTCTGTCTAGAAAATAACAAACAATAAAAGATAAAACATGGGCGCCATCATGGGAGATAAAAGGTCATTAGCAGTTTTAGGGGAATCTTCCAGTTTTATAAAAGCTCATTCTTGATCTCTCCGAACTGTCTATTATATTAGTAGACTGACGGATGATCCTCAGAGTCATGATGATGTATAAGATGTATTCATTATTATACAACAGTTAGTTCTGACCACGCAAGCTGATTGGTTGAGAAGCGTCTAACCGTGCTGTTATTTCGCCATAACATCACAGGTTTTTCACAAATACTGTATCACTCTGCTGAGACGCCGTTGCTAAGCAATGACTTTGACAGCTGAAGGAGACGCTCAAGCCATTTGAACGTTTTTACTTCTTACTTTGCCACAAACAGAAAATGGACACTTTTAAGATCACATTTGACCGACAGCCGATTTAGTCAGACTCTGAAGATGAGACGACACTAAATTCCCAAACTGTCATCACCACTGAGCAGCTTTTCAGTCGGCAGCTGTGACAGAAGGACAGCTAAACAACCTGGAATCAGCCAGAAATGAACCCAACACCATTCGCCAAACTAAATGGGCTGTAAGATGCTTTACAGACCGGCTGGAACAAAACAACATTAATACTGATCTGGCAAAAACTGACAAAACTGAGCTGAACTTGATATTGCAGCAGTTTTATGGCTCAGTCTGTACTTCAAAAGGCGAGGCTTACAGCAGACTGTGCAGCGAATGGGCGGAGCTCATTACTCTGACGTAGCAACAAGCTGCTTGTTAAGGAACTATAATTTGGTGAAGGAACTGCGAACATTAAAAAATATTAAACGCTGCGTTCACGGCCCAGTTTATTAATTTATTACTTTATTTATTTAAATGTTGTATAAAAGCAATAGAACACTCGAGGTCATGTGTTATCATCAATAACATCACGGCTGTGATGATCTACAGCGACCATATCACAGCCGTGATGTTATTCTGCGATAACACGCTCCCTCTCATGCTCTATTGCTTAAATGATGTACAAATTTGTTGCTGTATCTGCCACCAGTAGCTTGTCTCACTGTGACTGAAACCTTTTAATACTAAATGTTCAATACAACTTTTGTTGTATTTTTTTTGTTGTAAAATGTCTTTTTTTTAAAGGTAGAATTTGCCCAATTTTTAAAAGTTTTTAAAAAGTTTAGAATAATTCTGCAGAGCAATTTTAATTCAGTTGCATTTAGAGAATAATTCAGAAAACAAGGCTACACTGAAGTTCTATCAGACACAAAAGGGCAGAAAGTGTCATGCAAAACATCACACAACACAGTGGTTATGTAGCCTCATTTACACTAATACACCTGTGCTAGCGGGTATGTCCTTAACCTTATGTGTCCTTATAAAGCATGAAGGTGTTACGGGATCATGACCATTAACTGGTAAATACTTAAAAGTATCTATTTACTCTTATAAATAAGGTGAGACTGCATATTATATCTCATCACTGTCATGTCAAAACCATGCATCTCCATTTCTCTTTCATTTTGTCATCTTTAATCTCTGACAAATTTTCAATTTCAAATCATTTTGAATGATTTTTATGTCACAGCATTACATTATGTCAACATTTCATGACAAATGGATCAATAGAAACGCTTCAAAATCATTCGGAATAGAATCTTTTTACATTGACTTACATTAAACATTAAGAAGGTGTTAGTCTTCTCCTGTAAAGTTACCCTTTTGGAGATATACGTTTTGGTTAGGAAAGCGACAAAATGTTCTATGGACAATAATGTGGACATTAAAAGTAATGCTAATAGTTAAAATAGTTTAAAATATCTTTAAAACCTGTTTCTAGTACAGCTATCAGGGTGTCACCAGGTGTTAAACCATGAAAATGAACAGATAAAAAGAAGAAGGTAACTAAAACGAAGCTGGGATGAAAATATTAGTTATAAAAAATTATTTAAATGTTATTGTTCTTTTACAGGTTTTTGTACTGTGCAAAGAATTTGTAAGTGAAGTCGTACGTGAATTTGAATGTTGTAAATAAAATGAAAGATCTATGCAATAAACATATAGCCATATGCAATATGTAAAATACAACGGTATCACTGTTAGATACATAAGATATACAAAGATTACAAGTATACAAGGATTAGAACGTAACATTTGATGCACATGGTTTCCTCTTTTGAGCAGAGGTGTCTCAAAAACAAGATTAGAGGGAAAAAAAGCATGGAAGTCAATGTATGTTATACATTTTTGTACAAATTATAGTTTCCTCCAGGATGTTTGAGGTCCACCATTTTACCCACATACAGTAGTCTTCGTCGCTTTTGTTTGCAGGTATCGTCTTATTGCTTATAAAACTGTTTTTTGGATTGTGGATTAAGGGACAAAAAACATTCCAAAATTTCCACTGAAATGAGGACTGGAGTTCAGGATAATGAAACAAACATCTGTGGATTCCTTTCCGACATAATTCAGCCCAACGCCAGTCCACAGATCACCCGGGAGTCAAATTCAGGGTTCAGGTCTTTACTTCAGAGTGGACATCCTTCACAACCTTTCCTTTTCAGAGAGGCGACCTCACGTTCAGCTGTGGGAAAGGCCAGATGAGCCATGTAGGCCACTCAGTCTGGCGATCTCAGAGGTGATGAGAGTTCAAAGCGGAGCGAAGACCAGAAGCTTCATTTTCTTAATAGTCCAGCTGATGAGGCTCTGCCTGTCTTGAGACCTGAGATGACGAAAAGAGATTTTTTAATTCAAAATTAAACAATCACTGATGTCACATGATCAACTGTGCACTCCAAACAGTCATATATTACCAGCGGAATGATTCCTTTGGTGAAATCGTCTTGTTTCACAGAACTTATGACACTGTGTGTCATTACAGTCTGTACAGTTGCAGCGCTGACGTTCTGTGCCTGCCACACCACTGGAGCGCCTGACCCGCTGAGAGCCGCGATAGCTGGACATGCCATAAGGAACAGTCCGCCTACAAAACAGGGAAGTGAAACAAGACACATGATCACAAAACATTATACCTTTCAAATTACCCTAAAGCTTCAACCCTAAGAGGTCTACTGTTGCCGTGCTATACTTACAATTTACATTAATTCATTATAAAGTCAGATAAATGATGATTTACATTTACATTTGATCCACAGTGGCTGTGTTTACATGCAAAGATTTTCACCAATCCGATTGAATACATTCTGATTACAGATTAAAACTGAGGTGTTTATTCTCACTCTACTCAACAATCTGATTAAAAATCTCTGTTTACATGCTCACTACAAGTAATCAGATCTAAAATGACCTGCATGCGTAGAGAACCACTTAGTGTAGGCGTTACAATGACAGTGAGCATCACGTGAGTCCAGTCAGAGTGAGATGAGCAGCAGTGAGCAGTGCTTGTGTTTTTAATGACTTTAAAATGATGTCAGACTCAGGAAAACGTCCTTCACATGTCCTTATTAAAGAAGGCCGAGAGGAAGACGTCGTGTTCCGAGACGCATAAGCTGGACGTCCGTCCCACCGCCGTCTTTTAAAGATCAGAGCATAAACTTCGTCTCCTCTGCAGACCAGTTTCTGCTCCGTCATGTTGAACGTTGTAACCTTTCACTATGACACGACGAACATGATCAGAACGGACTTAAACTTTCAGATTAGGAATGTACTCAGATACAGGCGTTTACACGGATATTATTCTTCTATTTAACTGCTTATTTACAGGATTACCCACCTCAGCCTCAATCGGATAGAAATCGTATTCCGAATGGCCTCAATCAGACTAGTCTATTCTCATTGAGGTGTTTACAGGGACGTATTCTATTCCGATTGAGCTATTACTTGGATTATTAACAGATTATTAGGCTGCACGTAAACGTGGCTACTCTGAGTGAATCAAAATAAAATGTAAAGGGAGGCATTTCAAGACGAACCTTACTGACCAAAGAACATCCACTTAATTAAAGCTACACTATGTAAGATTTGGGGATTTGGAGACCTCTGTTGGGAAATTGTGTAATTGTATGCAGTGTGAGGAAGAATATGTTGTACAGTCAGTTGTGCTTTAGAGCCCTTCCCTGAGAGGATGAACCTGACAATTGCAAGCGAGTATTGAAAGCATATTCAAAGAGAAGTCAGTAAAAACTTGAAGAAAAAAAAAATATATATACATATATCAATATAATGCTAATTCTTACATTTGAGACCTAAACGTTGAGCTGGACATTCTTTTTGAGCCTGCCCATGTGACGTTAATACGATGGTCCGGACAACATCCGACCCAACGCCTCTAGCTGCACTTTTAAATATACTGGTATATAGTATCACACTCAACAGTCCATCCTCTGAAACTATCGTCTCAGACCAGTGTTTCTTCCAGCATCTTACTTACCTGCCTTATTACCCCACTTATCTGTTACCTCACTTACCTGCCTTATTACCTCACTTATCTGACTGTTACCTTACTTACCTGCCTTATTACCCCACTTATCTGACTGTTACCTTACTTACCTGCCTTATTACCCCACTTATCTGACTGTTACCTTACTTACCTGCCTTATTACCCCACTGATCTGAGTGTTACCTTACTTACCTGCCTTATTACCCCACTTATCTGACTGTTACCTTACTTACCTGCCTTATTACCCCACTGATCTGACTGTTACCTCACGTTTTCCTTTCTTTGCCACTATACACCCTTTAATATAAGACATACTTTTCACAATGTAAGGTTTACAGGTATGACTGTGTGTGTGAGAGTGATGGTAGGAATGCATGTTTTATTTTATTTTATTTTACTTTATTTACTACATGTAAATGTCTGTCTGATACTCTCACTTTTCTCAGGTTTGAGCTAGAACCACAAAACTTCAGGATCATTGAGCTCGTAGAGCTTTTCACACAGCGGACTTTCAAACATATTTTTCTTCTCCAAAAGAAACGAATGGCGTAAAGTCGTTCATGACCAGTGCAGCTCTTTTAAATCGGGAGTGATCTGATCTCTCGGTTTAGTTTTTGTTAGGATGCTGACGCATTTTCTACAAGTTGTAAAGGATGTATTGTTCTATGTTGTTCTTAGGAAGTTCAGTAAGAAGATCATTACAGTGATCAACTCTGCTGTAACAAATGCATAAATGAGTTTCTCTGCGTCGCTCTGAGAGAGAAAAGGCTGAACTTTAGTGATTTTCTCCGATGATAAGAAGCTCCTTTAGTGACTGTGTTTACATGCAGATAAAACAGAGCTCAGAGTCAAAGATCACACCCAGGTTTCATACTTCAGGTTTGGTAAATGAAGCTAAAGAACCAAGTTTGTCATAAATCATTTTTTACTGAGTTTCTGTACCAACGATCAATATTTCAGTTTTTTCATGATTTAATTGTAGAAAATTTTGCGAGAAATACCACTGAGAAATATCTAGAATAGCAACATCTTAGTAACATCTCAGCAATCCCCTAGGATTTCAGCTTCAGAACCAGCTTTGTCAAACCAACTTAAAGTTTCTATGCAAATTTTCACCTTCTAGTTAAGAATTTTGACTTATTTTCTTGTATCAAAGAATGCTACTATATTTTAATGATCAAAATCGCCTAAAACAAAGAACTACCATTTTCCAAGCTAGCAATTAACATTAAACTGTGCTGTGAAGGTGGACTAGAACACTAGAATTAGGGAACACAGCTCTGCAGTGTAGATCTGCAGAAAATCTTATTTCTACTCTGGTACAAATTGAATGGCTACACAATTCATATTCACTTTTTAGTTCCTTATCCTGAAACTAAATACAAACTGAAATACAACTAAATGCACTATCAAAATCATCAAGCTTCTTTACACAATTATTTGTTCAACAACAAACAGTTCAGATTCTGTCCCAGCTTTTCCAAAGTAGTTTGCAATGTGCAATTTAAAATAAAAATATTTGTGCATAACATTGTGCTGCCTTGACACTGCTGTCCTCCTCTTACACCTCCATCTCTCCCTACACATCAGTCTCCATTCCTTTTACTTCCCAATTTTTCCTTCACCTCCCCAGGTCTCTTCTGTTTCAGCCTTCTGTTTCATTCTCTGCCACCACTTTTTTGGCATTTTAGGGATTCACAGGCTGTTATGTGAAAATGATCTTGGTCTTTTACATGAAAACAAAAAAGTATTAGATTTAAAAAGGTGTAATAAATATTACTAAAATATGGTTCTTTGACGCGTAACAATAGTAAAACCATTTTGGCTGCTATAAAGAACCATTAAAAAAAATTAAAAGTGCCATTTATAACAGTTTTTTTCATCATAGAAAAGAACCATATGAGCATGCAAAGAACATGTATGCATGCTAATGTCTTTTCGAGTGCTTATGGTTCTATTTAGCACTAGAGCCTTCACTAAAGAACCTTTGAAGAACCATTTTTAAAGAATAAAATAAAATGAATAAATCCAATAAAAATGAAAATCTAAAATCAGTTTACTCCTGCTAGGCACTCCTCACCCACGTCAAAGCGCAAAGATCTTTGTGAGGAATCATCCTGCTCTACACCAGGGTTATTAAAGTTAAATGAAACTATTAATAAAACAAAAAGTGGCAGCGAAAAAATGTGCTCGTCAACTGTAATAAAAACTACAGATTTCAAAAACACAAAAACTAAATCAAACCTATATCACCCACTTCAAAAAGAAGCTAAAACGAAACAGAATTGCTGAAAGTTTAGAAGTGGATCCTTGCTGTGTTTACTGTCTTTAAAGAAAGCTGGAGCCGGGCCAACTGTCTACTGTTGGGTTAATTATATTGTACACCTATCAAATACCTCCCCTCTCAGCATTCAACATGTTAAAAACTAAAACTGACGCTGAATAAAAACTAAAGGAAACCTTACTTTCCTGAATAAAACCCAAACTGAAACTACTAATGCGCTCTTAAAACTAAAACTAAACTGAAAACCCAAAACCCAAAATGAAAAACTAAATAAAAATAAAAACTAATGGAAATTTGAAAACAATAATAACCCTGTTTTACACTCAACTTGACTAACTATGTCTTTGAGCCAATCAAAGGAACGAACAGCAATCTAATGTGACCAGACACTTGATTCCTCTGCTTCCACAAGACGTCTAAACTACAAACCTGTTTAGTTCGGACAGCAGGTAAGATGTAAATAAAAAACAGAAAGCAGTGATTTATAAATCTACTTTGACCTGTATTTGGACAAAAACTGTACAAAGACAAGATATGTAATATTTTACTTTATCAGCTTCACTGTTTTTTGTACATATACTGTAATTCTAGGAACATTGTAAAATGCTTGGAAATAACAGAAGCATCCCAGAAAGACTTTATGAGCGAGAGTCCTTTATGAGCACAGATGGTCAAGGCTTACCACAAAAATGTATATGCAAAAAAAGTCCAACAGTTTAAAAATAACATTCCTTGGCCAGGGATTGTAAGGATTTTGGTTATTTCACCCTCTACAGTGCATGATATCATCAAAAGATTCAAGGAATCCAGAGAAATCTCTGTGCATAAAGAAGAAGGCCAAAAACCACAAATGAATGCCTGTGACCTTCAACACCTCAGACTGCAGTGCATTAAAGATCAGCATGCTTCTGAGATGGATCTCACCGCATGGACTCAGGAATACTTCATCCAACCACTGTCAATAAACCCCATCCGTCACTTCATCCACAAATGCGAGTTAAGTACTATGCACGGTGGAAGTCATATATCAATAGCATCTGGAAACGCTGCCAAGTTCCCTGGGCTTGAGCTCATCTGAAATGGATTGATGCACAGTGGAAAAGCGTTTTGTGGTCTAACGAGTCAACCTTTTAGATTATTTACGGAAATAATCGATGTTGTGTTCTGGGGGCCAGAGAAGAAAAGGACCATCCAGATTGTTGTCAACATAAAGGTCAAAAGCCAGAGTCTCTCATGGTATGGTTTTATTAGCATTTCACATACTGTCCAAACTTTTTTGGACCTGGGTTTGTAAAATATA